AAAAAACCTCCCCTCCCCCTGCCCTCCTCTCGGCTGCGGCTGCTGTGGAGGTAGTAGTGGGGTGCCGCCGCTGCTGCGGGGGCTGTGGGGGTAGTAGTAGTGGTAATCCTACTGCTGCCACTGCGGCCGCTGCATCAGAGACGTCTGTGACGTCACTGCGGTGGTGGTGGCTGTCTGCTACTACATCCACAGTTACTACAGCTTCTAGCCAACTAGGTGTAGGAAATCAAGTAAAATGTCAGATGTAGTCATTTTTTATTCTTTATTGTTTCAAATCATTTACATTATAAGAGTAAGTCTTCCTCAAGTAGCCGGCTTGTTTCTGCTGGTGACTTGGGGCTAATCTGGATACCTGGAAAAGAATGAAAAAAAAATTATAAGTTAAATTCAAATTCTCATCTCAAAGTTCAACTCGAACGTTTTCTGGTCCATATGTATCACTGTGATGCCAGCTCATCGAATGAAATTCTATGTTACAGGTGGCCAGCATCAAGTCCAGGCATATTCCTTTGGACAAGAACCAGCATCACTCCCTACTCTACTAAGACTGTACCATACAGACAAAATAAATAGCAGCATTACTCTAAGTGACACTCTGATGATTTGCCTCTATGTCCCTCCACTAAAATCAACACACAACTACATACATGGAGTAAGCATAAAAGCAATAAAGAAATGACAATTTCATTTAGAAAACAATTTAGAAATGACAACTTGAATGGTCAATGCAAATAACTTAACGCTGAAATAGACTGAAATAGATTAGACCGAGGTATCTTCATGTTCTCTTGGCTTACTCAAAGCTTGGTACACAATCAATATATGAAAGTGGAAATAAATAGCAGCATTTCTCTGAGACTCTGATGATATGCCTCGACTTCCTGTCCACTAAAATTAACACACGACCACATATTGTGGGATCAAGTATTAGGCCATGACCCCCCAAAGAGAAACAAATCCCAGGGTGGAAACGCAATCGGAGTTTTCAAATTCCCTGACTTTTCCCTGACTTTTTACGCAAATTCCCTGACTTTGAAATGTATTTTAAGTGGAACTTTTTGCCTCCCAAAAAATTGAAAATGCCACCGAAAGTTTGAAAACAACAATTTGGGGCAAGATTCAGTCATTTTCCCTGACCAACGTTCAATTTCCCTGACTTTTGCCTGACTTCACTGACCAATATTTTTCCCTGACTTGGCCCTGACTTCACTGACCAATATTTTTCCCTGACTTGTCCCTGACTTCCAGGTTGCGTGGCCACCCTAAGGTATTTAATACCTAAATAAAGTTTTACCAAACTTGACTCTACCATATTGATATTTATGTAGATGTTACATAAAAAGCCAAATAAACTTACCAGAAGCATTCCTGTGATCATGCTGTGACACTAACTCAGCATGTATTGGGTGATAGCTAACGGTTGTTTAGCTGATGTCAAGCACAGATGCAACGGTCTTCCTGCAACAGGGTAAAAACAGAATTTTGGTCTACATATATCATGATGACACCAACTCCTCTCTCTCTGGACTCCTAACAGTTTCAGGTGGCTGCCTAACATTAATGTGCCATGCTTCAAAAGCATCGCCTAGGACAGATAATGTCAACTCAACGTAAATGTTCACAAGTGAAATATCATAAATATTCATGCACTGTTAACTCTGTTTCCCTATTATTTACTTTCCATTTTTATCATACATTACAGGACTAAAGAGAGAAAGAGCATTCAGTCGGCATGGATAAGGATATTTCTGCCTGTCATTGAGCAGAAAAAAGTGCAAAATCAAATAAGAGATAAAAAAAATGATCCT